TTACCAAATAAGCGTTTAGAAAACAGACTATAGGACTAAAACTTAATATATTGAATAACATATATTTGTTTTAATTTTTGTTTCATATTTATTCAATTCACAATATATAACTTTTTTGTTGTATTTTTTGTCACACAAACACAAAAAAAATGTTCACATTGTGAAGCAAATATATGTTGATCAATACACTTAATCCAAATCGTAGATGAAAAACATGTGAAATAACACATAATACATCAGTTCCCAAGATTATCATAATTTTACAGGTTCTCAAATAAAAGGCCCCCATACATACATACATACATACATACATACATACATACATACATACATACATACATACATACATACATAAATACATTATACATATACTAGAAGGATATTCGCGCAACACAGCGAGATACATCGAGATAATGTTCGTTTTATTTTTGTCTCCATCGATATAATACGGTTTTATGTGACTTTGAGAAAGCGATAATGTTTTTATTCTTAAAATTTTGAAAAAATATACCAATATTAGTATCAATTAACTATTTAATAATTATTGTTTTTTTTTTATAATTTAATTTAGGTTTAATAACGAATTAATTTATTTTTGGTTTAATAATATAATTTTTATAAGAATAATAATTAAATATTCTGTTATAAGTATAAGTCAGTAATTATCCTAATTATATTTTATATTTTCTATATTTAAAATGAGATGTTTATCATGTATTTGATTAAGTTTATCTGCAGTTAGTTACACAAATTCAAAAATAGAGCTTTAATAAGTTGTACTTACGCACAATTTACTTGTAATATTAAATTTTAAGTAATATGTATCAACAAACAGTAGTTCATGCAAGAAAATGATTTTTAAGAGTTTTTGTTAAATACTTTATAATATAGTATAGATAAGAAAATTTGCCTTATTATATATGATATTCCATGTTTATGATAAAGCAACATGACACACAACAAGATATACAAAATATCAAAAAACTCGAATCCAAATTGTAAAAGCACTAAACTATTCTTAATTTATTTCAATAAGCAAAAGTTATTTAATTATACATTATTGGCATACACTTTTAAAAAAATAACTCCAAAGATGGTATCTGATTGTTTTGAGTTTGACTCTAAAGGTCAAAAATGTCTGGAGGTCCCCACATTCAAATCCAAGGAGGAACAAAAACCTCTTTGTGGGCATGAAGGTTAAAATGCGGTGACTCTGAACTACCAGCAAAGTATGTGATCGTCCTATGATTAGTCGACTCACATAACGGGTTCGATATTCAGGTTAATGAAAAATTGGTTATTTAAATACATGACATTCTTCAAACTTTTATATGAATCAAACTCTTCAAATATTCTTAAATCGTTTTCTCAAATAGATTTTTAGGATTAAAGGGTATGATAGTAATTTTGAATGCAAAAAGGTCTTGAATGGTGAGGAATGTTGTGGCATGGACCCATAACGAGGGACAACCCACCGTACTAAGCAAATATATGTGGTGATGGTATAAAATTTTGAAGTATTGTGGGGCCGTTTACCAAACGTTTATTTGAACAAGTGTTTATTGGTAAAATTTAATACCATCATTTATTTACAGGGTAAGATTTTAATTTATCAAAATGGTATCATATGCAACAATTTACCCAGTTTGCGTTAACCGTAGTAAGAGTCGTCGTCGTCACTTAACGGGTAGGAGTCTAGATTCTTATCTTCGATCTTACAGGGTAATATTCTTGTTCTTTGTCATATTCATCAATAAGGTAATGTAATTTGATAAGCACTTACTGGATAAGTGTTTGATAAACTTAGTTTAATAAAATTCTTTGAAAAGACGATTAATGTGATCTCGTTTGTACAATTGAATACTAGAAGAGTACTCGCGCAATACAGCCAGAGACATCTTCATTTTAATGTTTTGTTTTGTTTTTTTGTCTCTGTTGATATATAATATGATTTATGTGATTTTGATCAAGATAATGTTTTTATTTTTGAATAAAAATAAATTTGAAGATATTATAAATTTTTGAAAAAACATATCGATATTAATATCAAATTAACTATTTAAAAACTCTCGTTTTTTTGTACAATTTCTGTAATTCAATTTTTTATTTTAATTTAATTGAGGTATAATAGCGAAGTAATTTATTTTTGGCTTATATTTTTATAAAGATAATGATTCTGTTAGAACTCAATAATTATCTTAATTATATTTTAGATTTTTTATATTTAAAATGAGATGTCTATCATGTATTTGATTATGTTTATTCGTAGTTAGTTATACAAATTCAAAAAATGGAGCTTTAATAAGTTGTACGTGTGCACAATTTACTTGTAATCTTAAATTTTAAGTAATATGCATTAATAAACAGTACTTCATGCATAAAAAATTGTTTTTAAGAATTTTTGTCAAATGTTTTATAATATAGTATAGATATTTAAGGTGTATTGAAAAAACCGATCACAATCATAGAAATGGAATTTGTGCCACTACAACTTCATGAATAATGCATCAGGAATTGAGTCGTAGAAGTGAAGGAATTAGAAGATTGTATTAAAGTTAGTTAAAATAGTCATTTCTCTTACATAAATTGGTCTTTTTAGGCGTTCATCTCCATGATTTACCCAAATAGCACTATGTTTGCAACTCCCACATCCTACCACTTGCGGTCACTGGAAAAGATAACCAGAGATGGCCCAGACCCGCAATTGATTTGACCAGGTCTACAATTTGAATATTTTTTTGTCTTTTAGCTAGGTCTGCAAATGACGGACGTAAGACTTACGGCTGTAGTGATATTTGGGTAAATCAGGGATATGAATTGATATGAGACCATCGGACCAATTTATGTAAAAGAAATAACTATTTTGACCAATTTCCCAAAAAATAATGTTTTGGATATCGAAAATTGATTTGTTGGGAACTGTGCCATGAAAAATCAACGTCAAATCAAATAAAAGTCATGGCAACGTTTATAGCATATGAACGATAAATTTTGAATTCGGACTACTAGTAAACCAAAATCACTCTCACAAAATTCATTGTTATTTCGTCTTTGAGAGATTTTAAAACATAAATGATATAATAAACTGTTGGTAAATACCGTCATATCTAGCTGAATAAATGTATTTTACCCGTTAAAAAACAATAAATATTTAATTATCCGATAAAAACCACTTAGTTTTGCATTTTATATCTACTATTATTAGCTTTCTAAAAGAACAAATTTTAAAAATTAAATGAATTGCTTTATGAAATAGAGAGCATTATAAAAGTGACTAACTAGTGTATTTTACGTTTCTCATTATTTACAAAAATACCCCTTTGAAATTCAGTAATCTAACATATCCACTATTTTAGTTTTTGGTCTGTCGTTGGTTCTTGTCTGTTTCTAATCCTCTTTTGTTTCGGTTTCTTGATGTCTTTTTATGGCATTTTTCTGTTTCTCGCAGATCCCACTTAATGCATTTTTTTTTTTTGTATTTCCTTCTATCGTAATACTTTTTTCATTAACCTGGATATTCAACCCGTTATGCGAGTCGGCTAATCTTAAGACGACCACCTGCTTTGCAGGTAGCCTAGAGTCACCGTATTTGAACCTCTGTGGTTACAAGAGGATTTTTATTTCTCATTGGATTTAAATCTGAGACTTTCAGATACTTTTGACCCTTAGAGTAAAGCTTAAACCAATCAAACACCGACCTTATAAATTTTTCCTTCCAAAGAAAACCATATTCACTACTGTATTTTGCTAGACGACACATTTACAACTTAAACATGCATGAGAAAGAAAATAAATCATCATCGCTTAAATACTCCACGATGCAATTGCATTATATGAAAATTTGTGTGTTTGTTGTTGAAATTGACACACTATTAATTGACATCTTTTTTTTTTATTAACCTGGATATCCAACTCGATATGCGAGCCGACTAATCTCAGGACGATCACCTGCTTTGCAGATAGCCCGGAGTCACCGCATTTGAACCTCCGTGACCACAAGGAGATTTTTATTCCTCATTTGATTTGAACCTGGGACCTTCTAGTACTTTTTACCTTTTGAGCCAAGCTCAAACCAATCAGGCATCACCCTTGTGGTTTACTTGACATCTTTTTCTTATTGATATATTTGGAATGTGTTCAGAATCAATTTATATTCTAAATGTATGTATACTAAGGGGTGTTTGGGATTGCTTATTTGAAACAACTTATGTTTTTCTACAAAAGTTCTTATCAACTTATTATAAGTTAGAATGATTTAACTTCTTCAAAAACTCCTTATTACCGGTATAAGCTGTTTATCCAAACACTCAAAATTGCTTATTATCGGTATCACACCGGAATAAGTTAATAAATTGTTTTCATAAGCAATCTCAAACACCCTGTAAAACTTATTATCGTAAACATAGCCAAAAGCATCGTTTTAACAATGTAATACATTTAAAAAAACTTTATAAAATGATATATTTATTTGCTCAATATTTTTATTAACCTGGATATCCAACCCGCTATGCGAGCTGACTAATCTCAAGACGACCACCTGCTTTGCAGATAGCCCGGAGTCACCGCATTTGAATCTCTATGGCCACAAGAGAATTTTTACTTCTTCTTGGATTTGAACATGGGACCTCCTGATACTTTTGACCTTTGGAGCCAAACTCAAACCAATCAGGCACCACCCTTTGTGGTTTATTTGTTCAATATTAAGTTTTAGAGAGTTCTCAAATTTTGAGATCTCTACGTTCTTTTTCATATTTTCTCTATTTTAACAAAACTGTTAAAAATGCTCTGAAAGCTGTACCTTTGAAATATGGTCTTTGGGATCTCTTAAAAAATAAATACGAGGGACTGAACCTGTGAAAAGTTAAAAGTCAAGGGGCTTCATATTGAAATTTATCCATGAGCAAATGAAACTTCCATCCATTACTTTAATTCCAAAACGAACGTGATTGGATTGGTTCAAGAATTCATACGATATTCCAACGTAATCCATGTTTTCAAATCTTTCTTTCTTCTTCTTCTTCTTCATATGGTCTCCAACAAAGAATCAATCCCTCCTTGATTTCTGGCCCCCTCATTCTCTTCAATCTTCCACAAACACCCTACACATATAAATTCACAGCTTGCTCCACTACTTGTTGCATTTGAATCGTTCTGTAAACGTATTGAATACAGGGACAGAGAGAGAGAGAGAGAGAAGAAGGAATGCGAACTTCTTTTCTTGCCGGAAATCCGGTGAATTTGACTATATCCGCCACCGTCGCCGTCGCCATAGTATTGTTGCAGGCTTTTGTTCTTTGTGGGTTTCCCACAACTCTTACGTTGGAGAGAGCTTTCCCCACGAACCATCTGCTTGAATTGAATCAACTCAGATACAGAGATAGTTTAAGACACCATAGAATCTTGCAGCAACAATCTTCTGTAGCAAGTGTTGTTGATTTCCCTGTTCAAGGAACTTATGATCCTTATCGTGTTGGGTAATCAATTTCTTGATTTCTTTTCACTCTTATTTGTCAATTAATCGAATTAAAGAACTGTAAATCTTTGGAGAAACCACATGGGTTAATTAGGTTGAAATTTTCACTGGTTGCTTTGTATTCAAGCATGATCTTATCATAATCATGGGTTTACCCCCAATTGAAAACCAAGAGGACAAAATTCTTCCATTAATGCTTGATTGAGTTTTTGTTTCTTTCTCTTTCTTTGGATAGATTCAAGTAACCTCTCACTGTTCTTCAATTTCCTGTTTTTGGGTATGTGATATTTCCATTTATAACCAAAATGCTCTTGGATTTGTAGGCTATATTTCACAAGAGTCCAATTGGGTTCTCCTCCAAAAGAATATTATGTACAAATCGATACCGGAAGCGATGTGTTGTGGGTTAGTTGCAATTCTTGCAATGGCTGCCCTAGATCCAGTGGACTCCAAGTACTATCATACACTCTAATTTCTTGATATGATTCAATATGGTTAAAATCAAGAATTCGCTAGGTTAGTGATGCCGTCTTTTCTTTTATATTCTCTTATCCTATCAACAGATTCCAATTCAGTTCTATGATCCTTCAAGCTCTTCAACAGCTTCTTTGATCTCTTGTTCAGACCAACGATGTTCTTTAGGAACCCAATCGTCTGATTCCGGGTGTTCGGGTTCAAATAATCAGTGCAGTTATACATTTCAGTATGGAGATGGTAGTGGGACATCAGGTTATTATGTATCTGATCTAATCCATTTGGATACAATTGTTGGGGATTCAACATCATCAAATGCTTCAGCATCTATTGTATTTGGGTGAGTTATATAATATATATGAGTTTTTCTAAAATCCATTATAAAGATTTCTTGGCAAAAACCTTGTTGACTTGTTAAGACTTATGAAACAGTTGTAGCACGTCTCAGACCGGGGACTTGACCAAATCTGATAGAGCCGTTGATGGAATCTTTGGGTTTGGTCAGCAAGGTCTATCTGTAATCGCGCAACTTTCTTCACAAGGGATAGCCCCGGATGCATTCTCTCATTGTCTTGTTGGAAATGGTGGGGGAGGCGGAATTTTGGTTCTTGGTCAGATAGTCGAGCCAAATATGGTCTATACTCCACTTATTCCGTCACAGTAAGTTGTCTTTTGATTTGAATTCGATTCTTAAAAACCTGTTTATTCTTCTGGTTTAGCATCTGGTTTAAGTGTTTCTTATAAGCAGATGATATTGGCTTATCCTGTGTATTTATGTCCTGCTCTTAGGGGATTCTTTAATCTTTCTAATCCTTTGATCTTTATTATTTCCTTATTCACATATGATTACATGGCTATCGGCTCAATCTTTTTAGGACATATCTTAAAACGACTGGCTTATCATAAGCAAATACCATCTTTTAAGTTACTTTTGCATCAAATTTTTAGGGGGATTCTTCAATCTTTCTAATCCTTTGATTTTCGTTATTTCCTTATTCACATATGATTATATAACTATCAGCTCGACCTTTTTAGCACATATCTTAAAACATTAATTTGGCTTGTAACAAATAAATACCATCTTTTAAGCTGCTTTTGCATCAAATTTTTAGGGGATTCTTTATTCTTTCTAATCCTTTGATCTTTGTTATTTCCTTATTCACATATGATTATATACTATTGGCTCGATCTTTTTAGCGCATATCTTAAAGTTTTGGCTTATAATAAATAAATACCATCTTTTAAGTTACTTTTGCATCAAATTTTAGGGGATTCTTTAATCTTTCTAATCCTTTGATCCTTGTTATTTCCATATTCACATATGATTATATGGCTATTGGCTCGATCTTTCTAGGACTGATCTTAAAACAACTGGCTTATACTAAACAAATACCATCTTTTAAGTTACTTTTGCATCAACTTATAGTGTCATTGTCAATATTTGGTGATTAAAAGAACTCATAACTTAATAACCAAGCATCTTTAACAAATTTATTGCCCTTTTCCACATTGGAAGATATGCTTGATTGAGGCATTCTATACATATAGATTATCTTTAAAAGATTCACATTGATCGTTGTTTTCATGATCTGAAAAGAACCCGTGTCTAAAGCTATGATCGTTGACCTTTATTCATTAAAACCTTCGATGGATATGCTATATATAGACAAACTAACACGGTATTCATGTGTGCATTCATCCAGGCCACATTACAACTTAAATCTACTTAGCATTTCTGTCAATGGACAAACATTATCCATCGATCCTGCAATGTTTGCAACATCAGGCAGCCGAGGAGGAACCATAATTGATTCTGGAACTACTCTTGCTTACCTTGCTGAAGAGGCTTACGATCCTTTCGTGAATGCTGTAAGTTGAAAAGGGTGGCGAAAGTTTTATAAAAAATCATTATCACTTAGAATCTTGAACTACTTCATACGAGGATTTTTGCATTCCTGCAGATTACGCAGTCTGTTTCACAGTCTGTCCAGCCTCTTATATCGAAAGGGAATCAGTGTTATCTAATTACCGCAAGGTTTTCTTCGTTACCCACAATTTCTTTAATCGTTCTTTAGATTGCCATGAAAGTAAGATGGATGTTTTGATCATATTTCAGTACGCCTGAGATATTTCCGACAGTAAGTTTGAACTTTGCTGGTGGGGCTTCAATGATCTTAAGACCACAGGACTATCTACTGCAACAGAACTCGGTGGTAAGCTTATGCAAAATCATCGGTTTTTTGTGGTTTCTTTTGATCTTTCAAAGCAACCAATGTTGGATTTCCGTTGGTAGGGCGGGGCTGCAGTGTGGTGCATCGGCTTTCAGAAAATTCGAGGCCAAGGAATTACAATTCTAGGAGGTATAAAAACAGCCGACGGCAACAAAATTCAATTACTATTTCATTGCTGTTAACTTGATTTTGCTATGGAAATGCAGATCTTGTTTTGAAAGACAGGATTGTTGTTTATGATCTGGGTGGTCAGCGGATTGGTTGGGCGAATTACGACTGTAAGTCTTGGGACTTTTGCTAATCTTTTGAGTTCAAGATTCCGTTTGTTCGATTTTGATCAAAGATTTGAATACTTCATATTGAATATAGTAAGATGACAAATGGGGAATCAAGAAATCTTTAAAGTAAAAACTTTGTAAAGAAGGAAACTGTAGTAATTCTTAAGGAATGGTCAGATTATAGTCTTGTTTGTTGATGTTGTTAGGTACGTCATCCGTGAATGTGTCGACGACCTCAAGTGGTGGTAGAAGTGAATACGTGAACGCCGGTCAGATTGGCGGCAGCCGTTCATTGCGAAATACACGTTACGAGCTCATATCGATCGTCGTTGTGGCATTGGTGCTACAGTTATCTGTAATTGCTTGTTTTTCCTAGTAAACACTCAGATTGTTGAAATTTGGTAGAGTTGCATTCTTTTTGTATGTATAGTGGAAAAAGGGAACTAAGTGCCCAATAACATTATCCATGTAAGAGCAAAGAAGCTAATTGGAATTGAGATTTATACATACACATATACGTATACGTATTTGTATGTTGTACTCGTTCACAAAAATTTAGTATTTAGACGTGATTGAACAGGACTGAACTGGACTTGACAGAATAAGTGTCTGTTTGGTATTTGGTACCACTAGAACTGAATATGATATAACTAAATAAGTTGCTTTCAAAAGTTATTTTATGATTTTATATATCATGTAATAGTTTATAATTAACACAAATAAAGTAAATAATTTAATTTATAAACATTTTTACACGATTTTCATATACATAAATATGAAATAGTACCAAATTAAATGAATTTTTTTTTATATAATTGATGGTATTTTGATAAAACCCGATTCATACAAAGGAGAAATTATGTTTTATTCGTTTTGGAAGATCTTTATCAATTGGTGAAAGCATGGTAAAGATTGTTGCAACAACGGTTGTAGAGGTAGCGATGGCTATGCTCTTCATGTGTATTAATGAAATAAAAAAACCCAAAAAAAATGTGGAGATTGTCCCTGTGTTTTCCTGATTTGAAAATGGCCATTTCCAAATCGTGGGTAGACGTTTTATATTGTTGGTGGTTCATGACTTCCTACTCAACCTAGGTTTTTAATAGAGAGGGAGAGAGAGGGATTAGTTATTATACAATTATTGATATTTATGCAACTCAATCTCAACCGTCCATTTTATTTTATTAATATATGATTTTATAGAACTTTTAATTGTTTTCTAATATAAAGTATTGATCATAATAAATGAACCATATTCATCTTTCATAAATATTAAAATCATAATAAATAAACTCTCATCATTTTCATAAATATCTCAATTAGTTAGATTGTATTGGTTTAACAAATGTATTGTATAAATATTATATATTTCTATACATTACGTTAATTGGGTTGTATTGTATTTTTATATTTAAAGTGAATTACATCGATGATCCTTGTGGTTTGTTTAAATCTTGGATTTATTTTCTAAAACAAACTATCTAGATGATGATCTCTAACTTATTAATTTTATAATGAAAAATTTTGCTCCATCTTTTTTAATCCTTTTTTTTTATTAAAAGATATTTTATAAATCAAATTTCTTAAATTAAAATACATGTTAGATAAAAAAAAAAAATTAATAATTAAGTTGACAAAATGACTTGGACATTATATAGATTCTCAACTCATAGTTAAAAAAAATGGATTTTTTTTATTATCTATAATATAATAATCTAATTCTAATTCATAATTTGTAAAATCAAAACATGAGAAATAATTCTAGTTCAAATACAAAGGTGATGAAGGAAACAAACTTACTGGTTCAGCTTCTTGTACTCCAAAACCAATAAAATGAGAAATAATTCCATGTAAAATTTCAGAAGCATCAAGGATGTAAGTATGATTTCAATCAAATGTCAGTTACATAGTAGTCCCAAAAAACTGACCATTCTTTTTTCCAACCAACAAAACACCATCATCATGCAAAAGCAATTTCACTTTGCTTTGCATCTTTCCTTGTTTATATACATCACCAAAAACCAAAAACCAAATACCAATGTTTTCCAAATTAACAGTAAAACATCACACTCTTCACATTTTCATGAATCACTGGGACAGGCCTCACTTCCGCCACCCTCTCCCTTGTTGCACGTTGCCCATGTGATCCACTATCAGAAAACTCACCTTCCATGTAGTACCGAGCTCGAAATGCAGCCAAATGTGCATAATATGCAGGAGGCACTGCATTTCATTTGTAACACCAAACCCCCATGTATGTAAATTGTAAACATATACATATTATAGATAGATAGATAGATAGATAGATGGATAAAAAAAACATACCGATGGAGACAGATCTGGTACACCTTGCATATCTGAAGTTGAATTAACCAAACTGGGTTAGCTAGCTATTACAATCAACTTAATCATCAAATAATCAGAGGGAGGATTAGGTTAGTTCACACACGTGTAGCATAAATTGTTCGTCAGCAATTGCAATCCATCAGCGGTAAACTTGTTTTCATCATACAACACATGATAGTGCGTTGGACGACTTGTTCCCTATATCATATTCACCAACGAACAAAATTTAACTTGATATAAATTTACTTTTACATTTAGAAAGCATACATGTTTAAAACAAGCACTTCACCTGAATACCAGCATGGCTACACAGGTAGAAATCAAATTCTGTTGGATGACAAATCTTTGTGTCCACCACAGTCCCTGACATATTTAAATCCAACTATTAGAAGAAACAATCCATTATCAGTAATAAGATAACTATAAACCGATATATTACAAACCAGGAAGAATATTCCCGCTCTTGTCGGTGCTTTGCCTATCACCATGCCTTGCAGGAAAGAATCTTGTATGATGTCTCTTCTGAACCACAATAAACGTAACAGGCGGCAAATAGTGCTCCTCCAATGATACGCATGCCTGAAACATCAACAACCCCCTCATGCATTAAGAAACCAATCAGAATTAAATGTTTCTAAATTCAACAAGATATGTATTTATTTAATACCCTACGAATTTGGTCCATTTCGCTCAGCAAAACCTCATTAAACTGTCCTTCACTAACACCATCTCTGAAATCCAATAATCTTGTTAGAATAAATATTATGATTGAAAGAGAAAGTTGTCACTGAATGAGCAAAGAATGATGTAAAAACCTATAAAATATAATCCTGTGAGGTTTATGCCCAGTTGCTTTCTTGAAAGATATCAGAAGCTCCCTGCAAAATCAAGTGAAACCCTTTACATCTTAAACTGTATTAGAGACTAACCCAAGAATTATGTAACTCTTACCTAATCAAGCCTGCATGAACAACACCCCTTTTCGAATCTGAACAAGTTGTATAAAGATCCTGAATAATTTCTTGTCTGTGTGGTTGTGCAGAGACCAACGCTTTGTATTTTGTAACATGGGGCCAATCCATTGAAGCAACCACCTGTAAGAACAAAGTTCTAAGAACTTCCGAATGAATAAAAAATAAGAATAAAGAAAAGACATAACGTACAGCAGCAATGGAAGGGCTGGAATCCTCTCCTGGTGATGGATGCGTGACATCAGCTCCAAAAATTATGGTTGGACGCTCAGTTATGTAAGGAAGCCGATTGTTGAGAGCTGCAGACAGCACCGTATTCCTTCCCCCTACCTAATATGGTACACAACAAGATGAGTATATGTTCTGGATAAATATAAAGATATTATATGCAAACTACGCACCTTAACATTAATCTTAAGAGCTACATTTTCAAAATACTGCTGACTGAGCTTCACAACATTTTGTGGTTTACAGCATTGAGAAACAATTCCCAGCTCTGTTTCACACACTCGTTTGATCCTTGCTGGAAAAAAAAGATTCACATGTAAGCAAAAAAAAACTTGTACGTTTAAAAAATTGTTTTCAAAACAACTTACCATAAGTTCCTTTTGCTTCTGGAAGAATGACAAACAACAATTGTAGTTGTTTGCCTGGTGCGACCTCTGCTGCTAGTTTTGCAGAACACCCAGATTGGATGTCAACCAGTGCCTTCTCAATACTATGTGCTGGCGCAGAAACCATCGGAAGCAGAGGTTGGGGATTGAAAACCTACAAAAGTTGCAAACATGTTAAAATAATCGCACTTCAATTAACAGGGTGACAAAAGGCATAATACAGATCCATACTATTCCTTTATTTTGACACATTGTAACTATTCCTTTCCAAAAGCGCTCAACTGCTTCTTGCCTCTGCCTTGAAAAGTTGACTATTGCCCAATAATTGACAGTACCTCCATTGATCATTTTCTGCATTAGATAAAAGAAGGGTGTCCTTAAAGAGTCCTAAAGGTCCAATTACCACATTATTTAAAATGTAACCATTGGAAGCAAATGACTAGAACTTCACCAGGTTGATCATATTCCATTGGCCAACTGCTGGCTCAACTTCTGATCCAGGACCTGAACCATAATACCTGAGCTGAAGAATTAAAGTGAACCTAAGTTAAAACAAATATACCAAGAAATAACATGGTACAACAAAACAAGAGTTAAGCCGTGAATTTACATTTGGAGGTGGAAGAACTCGAGCATCTATTGAAGTGAGTTGCTCTCTCACTCTCATTCCAAAGTCCTCACTGACAAGCTTATCTTTGTTATATCCGTTGCTTTGTATGATCTTCAAACACCAACCCACAAGAAAAAGAGATTTATCATGGGATATTACAATCAGAAAATGTATATGATGTTAGTTTGGCCAATTCATACCCTCATGATATTCTCTTCCCTCTCCCGTGGGCGCTGGCACGTGTTCCTTAGAAGTTTGGTCACCTGGTTTTCATTGAGCTTTAAAGTATACCTCTGACCACCAGCAAGCCTACAAATCTTTAATTGCAAAATTACTGCCAGCAGAAGTTACAGTTACTTAAAGAAAAGACGAAAAACAATCGAACTCACAAAAGATAAATTAAAGATGAAAAATTACTAGTACAACAGTTACAAATGTTTATGTTTTTCAAGTGTAGTGGTTTTTTTATGGGATTTCAATAACTATGATGGATTTTGAAAGCTGAAGACATATAAGATAATTAAATTGTTTTTCACTCAATAGGGATATAAGAACAGCAGACCTCCATTGGCAGATATGTAGGTTTTGCATCTGTGCCAGCTTGTATCGCAGGAAGGTGAGGATAGTTAAGCCGTAAGCCGTACTTTTCATAGAAATACCGAACAACAGATACAGTTTCTCCAGTGGTATCAACAGGAAAGCTAACAAAATTTAACAAGAAAGAGGATAAGTGAAAGATAATGAAAATAGGATCACAAAAATACAAGTTGACTATATAAAAGGGACACACATAGTATTATGTTTTAAGTGCAACCATCCATAACTCTTAACACTAATCCATAGAGAGATAGTCCTACAAATAGAATCTATCTGAATAGCTTCACCAGCTGTGGTTGGCAATCTTGTTAGCCACTTGCAAATAAAACATAACTTCAAATTCAAATTGTGACTGACTTTTGAAATCTATTCCATGCCTCTTTAGGGATGTGATTTAACTTGCTAAATGTACATCAATTAGTAACACCAAAAAGCTAATAATATGATTAATCCAAGCTCACGTTAGTTGGTTGGTTGGTTGAACTGATAATCCTTGAACCTTATAGCGCCTCATGTAATCCTGGCGCCGAACTTCCACCCTGACACCTCTCAAAGCTTTTTTCACCTGAAAGCAACAATTGCAAGAAAAAAAATTACGACATTGCTAAGAAAAAGACAAATGATAAAGCAAAAGCAAAAGGTAAAGGTAAACTTATAGCTGTAACCTAATCCACAACACGTTTTTCCCTATGGTATCCATGTCTACAGAGTGAAGTTAGTTAGAGCTATGGATACCTTAATACGTTCTTGGTCTGAGAGTGGTCTTGTTATATCTTTGTTGAGGAATTCTGATACAAATTCAGAAACCAACATTGGTTGATAAAATGCCCGGGCTGACATATCTGCAGAATGGGTATTCAGAATAGCAGAAGATTTAAACATCATAATAATCCCAACAACTTGAGCAAAGTTTAGTAATCAACTCAAATATAGAAGAGCCAAGATACACACCGACATTTAGTGAGAGTCCCATTTGGGATGGTCTGAGACTCTGATAGAATCCTTTCCAGAACTCTATTCCATCACCAAGGGAACCGTGGCCAAACTCACAACTAAACAACGATCTCCCAACTATCTCGCGACTGCAATTCATGAGATATGGTAACTAGAAAAGAAAAATCTAACAGATGCAGTGTACAAGGTATCCACTCAAATTAAAAAAACTATTGAAAAGTTAAAAAGGATGTGTTACCCTTGAGAAGCAGACTCCCTCAATACGACGTCAAGAGCTTGGATAGTCTCTTGTGGACAATCAGGCTGTCTGCCACTTAAAAACTGCCTCAGATGGTGAACGTCTTTTCTGGCAGCAAATTTTATAGTGACTTTGAATTCGCGCTCCCGCCTACAATAGATAACAATAATTACATAAGACGGTGATTTTGAAAAAGTCAAAATTAACCATGAGATATTGAAAATAAATTATACCCATTGTTCTCAGCTATCTTAACTACAAACTCTTTAGATTCAAAAGGCAGTGCCCCTGCAGCAAATGCACTTTTCTTCCCGTCATATGCCAACAACAAATTTCCCAAGTGTGAAGCCCGATATGAATCGATAAGAAATTTCATGATTTCTCGACATTTACTCTTTGAAGTAACCTCAGGAGCAATTGTCACCTAAAACCAAAATTATAATTATAAAAATTAAAAGTTCATTATGAACCACAAATCATCTCGACAGTATAGAGGATGCTGCAAGTATAACACACAAATTTCGGTTAAAATTAAGGATCCACGGAAAACACAAACTGTTCGTCCATGCCCAATCCATAAACCGCTACATACAGAAAATGAAAGGAAAAGAGGGCAAACCCTACCGGCAAGGGCAACAAGACCATAAACGAGAAAGATAGCAACTCTATATTATTTCAACCACTGAATTGGTGAGAAACACAACCGTGTTTGATATAAGGTATGATCGAATACGTATACAATAAAATCTAATAGAAATGATTCACAACAAGAAGATTCTGGTTCTGTGATTTGAAAGTACAATTTGCTAACGTACAGAGAAAAATCCAACTGACTTGAAATACGCCTTTTTCATATCAGAGATAAAAAAATAGATTTCAACTTTTCTGTGGTTACATCTTAAACGGATAGATCTTCTATACACATCAGAGCATTCACATAACGAACGTATACATTGACTCCAAATATACATCACAGATACAGTCAAAAACACTTGAATCATATGACATTACGAGTTATTTGAAAATAGTCTGTAGGAAGAAACCTTACATCGTACTGGTGCGGATCCTTTTGCCCGATATCAACAAGAAAATGGTTTGCCCTAATAACACATTTTCTCCCAACAGTTCCAAAACCATTCCTAGCCGGTGCCTTAATCATCTTCGACGACGAAGGCACCAACGGTACGGCCTGAGAAGGAGCCGCCGGTGCCGCCTGTTGCTGCGAGGCTACCATCGCTTCCGGCGATGTCTGAACAGGAAGTTGCTGCATTGGCTGCTGGCGAACTGGACCTGCCGCAGTAGCCGTAGCAACGACCGGTTCTGATGTCGTCGCCGGTGAACCTATCGCAAGATTTTCAAAATCTCTCACCATCGGTGTCTGTTGAACGGCAACACGAGGGCCGGATTGTCCAGCATTTCCTCTTCCACCGATGTTTTGAGAAGAAACCGGCGGCTGTTGTCCACCACCACGCCCTCGCCCTCGTCCTCGCCCTCGTCCGCGGCCACCACCAGCACCGGTTGGATCGCCGCTCCCTCGGCCTCTTGCAGACATCGGAAAACTATGTAGAAGAACGTAGACGGTTTTAGAGAGAGAAGAAAAAGGGTAGTCTGATTTGTGAGAGTGGGGGATTTAGAAGTTGTTGGCGCGTGATATATAAATAAACCAAGGAGATGGAGGGTAAAAAAGGAAAAACAAATGGTACATTGCAAATTACTGAATAAGCGGCCCATTTGAATTTTATCTGACTCTTTTGCCCATATCTTCTATTCCGTTTCAGACTTTTTTCTAATACACATACACCCCTYGAGTTTTGACTTTTGTTAATATTGCCCCCTTGTCAAATCAATTTAATTTCTGTAAGTCTATACGTTATTATTTCAATTTCATTAATAGTTGTTGTATTTTTAAATATTTATATAATAATTATCTTTTTCTATATGCATTAAAAATGTAATATTTTTTYCATTTTCGCATTTATTATAGCTTAA